AGGCAGATTGAATTGGTGTGTGTGAGCTGGAGTCTCTCTCTCTCACTCTCTCACTCTCTCTCTCTCACTCTGCTGTGCTCCAATAAAAACGTCTAGGAGAAGAGTTCAAAAGAGATTTAGGGCGTCTATAATTTCAAATCATCATTTTCCCTCTATTATTTCTCTCTCCCTGCTCGCCATTTGTGCGTGTATGTGCGTTTCCATCCGCGTTTGAATAATGCAGCTCGTACTTGAGAAAACACCCAGTGCCAGTTCAGCACGGCTTAAGTGATCCCTGCAGATTAATAGCTGTGAAGGGGCTAATAAATGAATAAATGAATAAATGAACATCTAATCACACCCATGCTCTGTTACGCAGTCAACTTGACTAAAACACAACCAGTTGATTGTTATTCCAACCAGATAATTTTCAAGCAGCCCTCATTTCACGCCGTTCGCCTGATGATTTAGCTTGTTTGACCATTTTATGTGATGCAAATCACATTTTTCAGAAAATGACAAATCTAGGCATAGTACAAACTCGAAGCTTTTGCACAGTTAAAGTTGACGAGCCCTGAAGGTCTACACATCATCAATCCCTCTTTATATATATATAGCTTACCTTGATATCTAATTTACGGTATATTTACTCAGAGATGATTGAATTTGATCAGCTGAGATGAAATTACATGAAATCCCTGCAGTATAATCTATACAATTTAATATATATATATATATATATATATATATACATACATAGCATTCTTTATTTCCTGCCCTTCGTTTCTTTAAGTGACGCTTAAAGTAGGCCTCTCACTGACAATTTCAAAGCTGAATCTGCATGCTTTAGGGGACTGATAGAAACTTGGGATTCAGTTCAGTGAAGTATCACCCTAATTTACAGGGGTAGATAAGAGCGAAGGAGGGCAGAAGAATCTGAGCCTGACACCCCACACCCCCCACCCCCCTTCTCTATATTGAATTGCACCTTGGGCAATAGTGCAGAATCGCGAATCTTAACTTCTCCCGGCATATGTTCCTGGCAGATAAGTAAACAATCTGGATGTGAAATGAATTTTTTTTAATTAATACAGTAATGCTATTACACCTCGGTGTGCAAATCCCATTGCTACAGCCCCAGTGACAATAGACAGCAGTACTACATGCGGATTGCAATCCTCTGTTTGCAGCCGGAGCCCAATTGTTCTGCAAGCTTGTTTTGCCTCAGCCTGAATCCTATTCTCCATTCAAACCAGGGCTATAGTTTCAGAAACTCTTTTACAATTCAGGGATGAGAGAGAGAGAGAGAGAGAGAGAGAGAAAAGCATGCTCGCATTATATGATTATGTGGAATCATGCGCAAGTTATGAAACAGAGCAGTTGGTCTGAGCAAGTTGTTGCATGCTTGGCTCATTCACGTGCAGCGTGCTGGTTGGCAGTAATGTCATTTGCTCGCATGTTTTAATAGAATAAAACAATGTGAGGAATTATGAGTGTTGAAAAACATAAAAGCAAAGAAAAATTCAAACGGGGGGATGTAAATGCCCTCATACATACATCTACACACACACACACACATAGACACACACGCATGCATGCATACCTGCATACAACATATTATTTACATAAACTAGTAATGTATACTCCAGCTTTCCATTAATAATAAAAATGAATGATGATAATAAGAAAGAACGCTAATAATAAATGAAATGCACTGAAATATTGCAATGGAACAGAATATGAACAATGTGGGAAGCCTTCTCCAAATGTCTTCGCTATCACAAAATGTACAGTCTGTCCTTCACAAAGAAGCAAAAAAGAGTCTCTTAAATCCCACGCCAGCATGTCAACATGATCTAAATGAATTCACAACTGATTATGAATCTAACACTGTTATTAACCACTTATGCCTTTTACTGCAGGCCTGTTAGTGCTGCATTGCTGTTTGCTCTGAGGATCTGTAAGAACAGAGAAGGATCTGTGAACAAGTCAGACATGCCGATTCCCTCAAGGGGACATCCATCCTCTCCCACACTTCCAAACATCAAAGGACCTAATCGGTTCATTTAAGAGTCAGAGGAGACACACACACACACACACACACACACACACCTGAGTAAGGAAGCAAGTTTGAAGAACCAGTTTTAAAAAGTGAGCACAAGAGCCAAAACAGTAATCTCAACCTGCTCAGGAGAAAAGACAGAAGAAAAATAAACTATATATTTGATCAAATATAGCAAGGAAATAGGCTATATATCACTACAAACTGCATATTTGATATAGTATAATACAGTATTAATAGTGCACTGATAAACTATAAATTACAATAAATTATATATTTTGTATAGTATTGCATAGTAATAAACTACATATTAGTACTGTATATTTTGTTTGATATAGTATAGCAAAAAGCTATATATTACTGTAAACTATACACTATATAGTACAGTAATAAATAATATTTTACTATGAACTGTATACTTAATGTAGTCTAACATAGCATATTTGAGAAATATATAACTATCATTCAAAAACAAATCTTGGCCCTCACACACATATATACTTTAAATGAAAAGTTTTTTAACAATCTGTTTAAAAATGTTTAATCTTTTTTACAATGGAGATCCAACTGGTTGGAAAAATGCTGAAATAGAAGCTGTTGCTTAGACAGCATGTAACTGATAGCTGCAGCAGTTAGAAGTTTGAAGGCCTTGAGCTCTGCATGAGTAGCTCTTGTCTAAGAGCTGTGATAGGAGCTGCTGATGGAGAGTAACAGGACAGCGCAGAACAGTGTGCTTTATGGCTGCACATCAGGAACAGAAATCTGCCCAAAACTCTACAGAACTGCTTTCAATGAGATGTTTACACACCGCATTAGTCATCACCTCTCAGGGTCAGAGACTTTGAGTCTTGCTATAGAGCCTAAGCTTTGCTATACCTGTGCCAAAACACGCAATGGTGCGTGATGGCAGGGCTCGGCTGCTCCAGCTGCCCCCTCTCTGAGCCAACGACACCTTCTGTGTGTGGTTTTAGTATAAACTGCAGTTTATGCTTACCATCTGAAGCATTCAGTTGCCAAAAAGGCTCTGTATACTTCAGGCCTTGAGTGTCTGACCATCTGATTTGGATCTTAAGTCCCTAAAGAGCCGTGCAGAATGACCACGGGTCAGCAGTACTTATCACACACCTTTACACATTGCACCATTTCAGCCCATCAATAACACTCAGAACACTACTAACATTAATAACAGTCAACAGTTACAAATTAATGACAAGGTAGAATTATTAACATTAACAACAGTTAACAGTTATCTGATTAATGACAATGTAGAATTACTAAGATTAATAACAGTTAATAGTTATCTGATTGATGATAAGGTTTCCCTTTAGCCAAATATTTCCTTTAGATATTTATATTTTCATATGTATATATTTTTTAAATTACTATGATTATTATGATTATTATTATTGTTATTATTATTATTATTATTATTATTATTATTATTCATGACTGTGGATGAATTTTCAAGAAACAGGTAAAATATTTTACAACATTATATTTAAACTACAGTTGTATAATTACATACATGATATATATATTGGCACCTTTAGTTCACTTTAGCTTCACTGTGATTTTATTATTTATTTTTGAAATATCTCAATTGTACTGTATTAGCATTGTTGGTTGCCTTATATCCTAGGACCACACTTGAATTTATTAAATTATTCTAAATTGTATTACCCCTAAAATATTAAACCCTGTAAATATTGAAGATAACAAGGGATTTTTGTATTTTTGAAGACAGATTGTCTTTATTCAAAACGTCTTTGCTCTGCAAATGAACAAAGAATCGAGGTATCACCTTTCTGATACAGTTTCCTTTTCCATAACATTACATGAGATTAAGATTTAAAAAAAAATCATCATTATAATAATAATAAGCACGACATTAACTGCTTCGCTTCAAACTTTCACTTCTTTCTCAAATGAAATGAACGTGGGACAAGCACTGAACCACAAGATAAAATGCATTTCAAATAATGATAAAAAATCTAAAAAAAAAAAAAAACTGAAAGAAGATTTTTCCACTTGGTGCTTTAAACAGCCTGTCTAACTTTATGTGCCTATAAACAATATAAACCCGTATCTTCATCAAAACTCAAAAAGTCCTAATTTAGATCCAAACTCTGTGTGAAATTTCTGAAAATATCAGTACAGCGTTCAAGAGATCTGAAGAAACATGGAGAGATATGAAGGCTGAACATTACTTGTGCAAACCCAAATTCGCCTTTTTTAAATAACAATAATAATATTAATAAGAATCGAAAACAAAAATTATTGTGATTATAATAGCATCAAAATGTACATAATAAATAAAGTTAAAGGCCTCCTTTTATGTTTTTTTTCTTGTTGTTGTTGTTGTTCGGTAGCCATTAATAAAGGTTAATAACATTTACAAAGTTCTTACAGTCACCTGCTCTCAGCTCTCAACTCCATGCAGAAGGTCCCGGAGCGTCCTGGAGGAAAAAAATAACAAAAAAAAGAATATATATACACACCAGAAAAAAATGTTCTGAACTCCAAGTTTGATCTCAAGTCCGCTCAGGCCTCCGTAAAATGTCTTTGAGTTCGATCCTCTCTCTGTGAATTATTTATTATTTTTTCTTTTAATAATGGAGCAGTTTTATGTACATGCCGTTGCATTCAAGTTTTTTGGGGAGGCGGGAAAAAGTGTCTCATTTTCTTTTTTTGTGCATTTTTTCCTTTGTTTTGTAATTTTTTTCTTCTTTTTTTGGAAGAAAGTGTCCCTTTTCCCTCATTTTTTAAAGAAATGCTCCATTTTTTCCTATTTTTGGAGAAGAAGCGGTCCTTTTTTCTTCATTTATCTTTTTAGGGGAAAAAATGTCCCTGTCTTTTTTTCCCCTCATTTTTGGGAACAAACTGTCCTTTTTCTTCCTCTCCCAAATATATCTGTGTTTAAATATTCTATCTGATGTGTTCTGTACCCCCTGCGCTCTCTCTACATGGCCGTGGCGTGCGCGGAGGGGTAAGGGTCGAGCCCGCTCTTGCCCATCCCGGGGAAGAGGATGTAGGCGACGGGCGGCTGGAGCGCGCCCCCCGCGGACCATGCGCAGTTGCAGGGCACGACGTAGCCCGGGTTGGTGGGCGACGGGTGCGTGTGCGTGGCCGCGTGCGGGCCCGCGTGCTGCGACTGCTGTGTCTGCTGCTGCGTCTGCTGGGCCGTCTGGTGGCTCCCGAAGGCGCCGGCGCTCTGGTGGTAGCCGAGCGAGGACGCGTAGGGCAGCGAGCTCAGCGAGCTCAGCGCGTACGGGGTCATGTCGCCGGCCAGTTTGCCCATACTGCTCGCGCCGAACTGGCCCGGGTCGAGCAGGGAGTAGGGCGAGGTGACCGCCGACGGGGGCAGGAAGGCTCGTGCGGCCGCCGCTTTCTCCAGCGCGTGGTCGGCGGCGTTAGCGGGCAGCGGAAGCGCCGCCTTCAGGTGCTCCGCGTCCGCCAGGTACGGCAGGGGGAAGACGTAGCGCTCCTTCTTCAGCAGGTTCTTGGGCTTGCGCCTCGGCCTGTACTTGTAGTCCGGGTGCTCCTTCATGTGCTGCGCGCGCAGCCGCTTGGCCTCGTCGATGTAGGGCCGCTTTTCGGACTCCGTCAGCAGCTTCCACTCGGCGCCCAGCCTCTTGCTGATCTCGGAGTTGTGCATCTTTGGATTCTCCTGAGCCATCTTTCTCCTCTGGCCGCGCGACCACACCATGAACGCGTTCATGGGTCTCTTGATGTGATCGACCGGCTTGGACATGACGGCGGCGGCGGCGATGGCGGCAGCGGCGGCGGCGCAGGCAGGGGAGCGCGGGCTCCCGCCCAAATAACTGCGCAAATGATAATTAATAGCAATTAGGAGTGATGAAAACGCGCGTGCAAGTATTCACCCGTGCTGGCGGGAGATGCAGATGGTGATCATGCCACTTCAATTTGCCGGGAAAAAGGGCATGAGTGCAAAACAAAAATCCAAATATTTTCTTTTCAAGAAAGAGTTTCAAAAAGTTGCTGAAAGTTATTCTCTCGTCCGCGTCTCGACTTTAAGGTTGAAATCGAGAGAGAAAGCAAAAGAGAGAAACGGAAAGAGAGAAAATGAGAAAGAGAGAGAGTCCAAAAATCCACTCAGGTGAGGCAACAGCAGCAAAAGAAGCTCCGAGAAAGTGAAACAGCTCCCCTCTCTGTACGCGCGCGCGTTTGTGTGTGTGTCTGTGAGTGTGTGTTTGTGCGCCAGGGGTGTGTACGTGTGTGTGTGTTGTTCCTGCTCTCGCTGAAGCACCTGGCTGTGAATGAGCGCCAGAACGCGGCGGAGCTTCAAACGCGCCGAAGCCGCTTTGGTGTGCGAGCGCGGTGTAGGGGGGGCGGAGCTAGGAGACCTGAGCGACCAATCAGAAAAGAGAACAGGAGCCGGAATACCTACGGAAGAAAAATTAAAAGGAAAAAAATGTATAGGGATATTACCAAGGCAAATAAAGACTGAGGATGAATCCGCGCACGCACACACACCCACAGGCGCGCGCACCTGGAACACTTCCCTCAACAACAAACCAGACTAACTGAAAAATAAATAATTATGATCAACTTATTAAAGAAGTAATTTGAGGTCGAAAGGTTTATCATCATTCAACCTGATGACTGCAAAAAAAAAATAATAATAAAATAAAAAATAAAACATGCAATTATTTAATTAATTAATTGATTATTCATTTGTTGTACATTCCAGAAATACATTTTCACTCTTAAATTTATATTTTTTTTTCAAATGCAACTGTTGTTATTAAAGTTTTATTTATCTGTTTCTTTATTTATACACATTCCTACTTTAGGCGTGTGGCATTCTTTCCAAAAATCGAGGTGTAGTTGATCATTTTCGTAGACTGCATATTTTTTCATTAAGTTATTTTTATAGTTATTAACGCTGAATACGTACTGTCGCTTTATTTATTGGGCAACTTTACACATCCACATTGAGTATGTGACACTATTTTAAAAAATAGAGCTATGTAATCATAACGCTATTAAAATGTGTTCAGTAAAGGGAGACAGAAAATGTACACAAGGCAGTGAAATGAAGAGCGCTTGGGGCCGCTGTCTGAGCAGGAGCCCTCGGGACAGTATTTATTAATATTTATTAAAGCGGAATAATAGTCCGGATCTCCCCTGAGACACGAACCAGGCTGGGCTAGGTTTGGGGTCGGGCTCAGATTTGGCTTTGGGGTTGCGTTTCAATTCGGGTTTCGGTTTGTGTTTGAGTTTTGATTTGGATCTGAATCTGGATTCGGATTTGAGTTTAGGTTTGGAATCGGGGTTGAGATCTTGCGCCTGTTTTATCCCTCATCTCATGTACTCTTACTATGGAAAACGGTCTGAATCAGTGTCAAATTCACATTTACAGTCCTGTTAAAAAAATCGATTTTTGAAATTAATTACTGGATTTTTAATCAAAAACTGAATAATTCATTGGATGTAAGAAATCACGATGGCGTTTTCTCTTTATTTTTGCCATTAAAAAAAATGAGAATCAAATTGCAATAATTACATTCTGGATTAAATGTCTGCTAAACTAATTCAAGATCAAATGTACACTAAACAAATTCAGGATTAAATGTTCACTAAATAAATTCAGGAGGAATTTACAGTGAACAAACGCAGGATTGAAAGCCTTTCGGTCACACTGGAATGTGCCTCTGTCTTTCCTTTCCCCCCTAAAGGAGCGATCTCAGTCAGCAGGCAGTGAGAAAGTTAACATGCAAATTTGACTGTTTAAAAAAGATCACTGCTCTAATGAGCCCGAGGCAAGACAGACTGAGTGGGCTGATCTATCAGAGCCTGCTTTTCATTAGCATCCTCAGTGAAATAGAGCCCTGGCCAATGGGCTGTGTGATCTTTATGATTTTTGCAGAGGTGGCCTTAAAGATGTGGCTGTAATTTAGCATATGCTGTTTTCTTAATGTAGTACTGCACAGAATTGAGAAAAAAAGGACTTGGCTTTTAGAGAATTTTACTTTCACTACACGTAATATAATTAAATAGGTCTATACGTTATTTTCTTGCTGGAGCTGAATAGTGTGGAGCGGTTTTGAATTTGACTGCACGTTACGTTTGATATCAGTGATATTTTACACTACTCACCAGAAATGAGTGTATTAGTTTAATCAGGGTTTAGGTATGGGTTTGTGTTTGGATTTGGGTTTGAACATGGATCTGGGTTTGAATGTGGGTTTGAATTGGGGTCTGGATTTCACTTTGGATTCTGGTTTGAATTTAGGTTTGAATATGGGTTTGGATTTTACTTTGGATTTGGGTTTTAATTTAGGTTTGAATTGGGGTTTGGGTTTTAGTTTGGATATGGGTTTGATTTTGGGTTTGAATTTAAGTTTGGATTGTAATTTGGATTTGGGTTTGGAGGTGGATTTAAGTTTAGACTAGGGCTTAGATTTTAGTTTGATTTGCGTTTGTAGTTTAGTTTGAAATTTATTTTGAAGTTTTAATTTGCGTTTGTATTTAATTTGAGCTTCTGTTTGGAAATTAATTTGTGTTTGAATTTCATTTTGAATATGAATTTGAGTTTGAGTTTGTTTTTTTGTTCTAATCTCACAACCAAGTTAATTAGAGAATTGCATGTTCACTATATTTGAATTGTCTGCATATGGAGCTACACAGTGTGGAGGCAATGAAGTTGGAATGTTTTATTTTGACTTTTGTTCATGTTTAAGACCAACACTGAGTGAACCACAGATAAGAGTGCTTTACAGCAAATGTTTTTTAACAAGACAATTTCAAATGATAGTGCTCTTCATAGTCAGCGTTTTAGGTAGTGGAAAGCAGAGGTGCTGTAAATACTGTAAGTAGTGGTTTATAAAAATGTCCTGCAATGTTGCAAGAAGAGGTGTTGTTAATACTCCTGTAAGTAGAACTGCTCCCTTTTCTAATTCAGCAATGAGACATGAAGAAGCAGCAGTGAAGCTCCTTCTGCTCTTGCAGTGGATGTCAGTTTGTGTTACAGCAAAGCTGTATGACTATAATCTTTGCTTTTAGCCATATATGTGAAACGGAATCACTGCATGTAGTGCATCCTCTTTTTTTTCTTCATTTTGCGAGTTTTATGCATTTTCTCAAAGCCAAAGTGACTGTTCTGATATTGATGATGCAGGTCTGTGTTAGTCTTAGACACGAGCTGATAATAAATTTGCATAAAGTGCCTTTATTTTGGCATTTTTCATTTTTATTAGTTAGATATGTACATTTCAGGAATGGATGAATCATTGTGCAGATTGTGCAGATGAGTATTTCTTTTACTGCATTAAAAGAGCAGGTTAGAGTCAGAGGGAGTAAAGAGGGTTTAAGTGAGGTGGGCTGGCTTTCTTTCTGCTGCTGTCTGTGGTCACATCCATCAGGCTGTGCTGTCCTACTGCCTCTCAGCCTCGCTCTCCATCAATGCACTGACACTCTCACCACACAGCAGCTTCTTACATTCACTTTACAACAGGAATTAACACAAATTCTTGGGGAGAGAAGAGCATCATCGCCATCATCATCATCTTGAGCAGCTCCACAAACAAGGCTCATTCACGCAAGAGGCGCCTGTGTTTTTACACAGTGACAGAGCGAGTGTGGTGGAAGAAGGCGAGATGAAGTGAGATTTGGGTAGTGAAGCATGTTAAGATATGCAGTCATTAAGACGGAGTTAATCACAATGCGCGAGATATTCAGCACGGAGAGAGCGAGGCTTAGCCGTGAACGAGACTAATGTGTGTGTAGGTGCGCGCGCGCGCCCGTGTTTGTACACGAATATGTGTGTCTAAGTGTGTGTTTGCAAGAGCGCAAGTGTGTGTGTTTGTGTTTTACACACGTGTGTATGAGCTTGTGTGTGTGTGTTTGAGTGTGTGCCTTTGTGTGTGTGTGTGTGTGTGTGTGTACGAATGTGTGTCTATGGGTTTGCAAGTTCCGACTGTGTTTGTGTTATACAGACTTGTGTGTAGTACACGAGAGCGAGTGTAGGTGTGTACCAACATGCATGCCAGATTTAAAATGTTATTATTTATTATTAAACGGTTTTATTTATTTTTCAAACAATAATATAAGAATAAAAGTGTTTGTGGCCTCTATTGTCCCAATAACGACGAATATATTGGAGGTGAGCCGTTACACTCAGTCATCATTATAACAGCCTGTAAAGGCTGCAGTGTCTTAAAGCAGCGCGAGCTCGTGCTGACTGAGCCCCCATCCAGTGCGCCCTCCCGCTGACAAGAGCGTCCGAGGAGCCGCAGCGAAACACGCGCAGACATTCACAACGAAAAAGAGTTTTAGGAGGAAAAACAGTCGCTGTTAACTCAGCCGCGGCACTGAGCGTCAGTAAAGAAGCGCTGAAATCGATGAGGAAAGAAAATAATGAATGGAGAGACGATATAGAGCTGAACTGGGTGACACTGGCTTCATCAGCGCTTTCAGCTCACAGTGATTTAAACCCAGCCATTAAAAACACGCTGCACGAAAGAAAGATAATAATGTAATAATTCTTTTTTTATTTTTCTCAATTAGGTGCGAAATCATTTTAGGCCAAAGTAAACAAACCCAACCCTCACAGAAAAAACTAAAATAATTATATATGTATGTATGTATAGTGAAATGACAGGGCGCTGACTTTTGAGACAATGTGAATGTGCGTCTGTAACTTAACTTTCTCTGCAGGTTCACTTTAAACACAAACATTCAAATGAAAACACGGTTTAGCGTGTGTTTCTGCAAGCAATAAATAAACAA